CCCCAAAACCCCAAAACCCCAAAACCCCAAAACCCCAAAACCCCAAACCGCATTTTTAAAACTGAAATTTAGAATTGGCTTAATGAGGTTTAATTGAAATTTCAAGTCACTAAGAGTAAAGTTTGAAAATTTGCGTTTTGTTGCTCATCAAGTGAAGGATAGTAATCTAACATTTTGTATAGCTGATAAACTAGAGATATAATCCTATGTCTACACTGGTATGAAGCTCTTAAATTTTAAATTGATTCTTCGTATAATGTAACGAATTAGTATTTTGGGGACCCGAAGAAAAGAGGTGGTTCTTATTTTTAATAAATCATTCCTCGCAGGAACATAAACCTATATTTAATTCAATGAAACCGGATATTTCCAAAACCAATGTTTGAGAAAATATTGAATGCTACATAATTTGGGTTTTCACGCTTTTTAACTCAGTTGAGTTTTAATAGAGTAAATCTGCAATTCTTCAGCAAAGCCCATGCTCGAAAAGACTTTGGCTTCCAGTCCCTTCTGTCATAAAATCTCAGAGAATTATAGAAGTTTAAGTATTATAAAATTGTGGTTTACAGGAATATTTCCTCAATGAAAAATATTATCAAGAAGTTAATAGAGGTTTACATGAATATTTATAAAAAGATCTCAGTTAATATACTTATTGTGGAGATGGCCTCACATCTCTCATTGTCACATTTTCTATATGGGTCTGAACTCTTCGAGTCTCCAGTGGCTCTATGAATTCTTCATAATTGGATGTGTTTTTGAGATTTTTACTGTTTCTTATTTTGGCAGCTACCTTGAGAAGTTCTCTAATTTCTTGTTTTAAAGATTTTTTGGGTTTGTTCTCGGGTAGGTTTGAAGTAGAATCAAAATTTTTTCATACTGTGCCAAAATGCCTTTCTTGACAATCTGGCTTAGTTTTGAACTTACTAGGCTTCTTCGAAGAGGAGAAGGTACTCCTATTTTTAAGGTTTGGTTGAGTCTCAAGGGGATCAAAGTTGAACATTTTCATATGAACTTTCTTTTTATTGCTCAAAGACTTTTGATTCATATTTAAAAGTATTTTCTCTGAGCTTGGTACCTCACAAGATGAGACATCTTCACTAAGGAACTCATCTGGCAAGTTTTCAGCGCAAATAATCTTCGCAATAGAGTCCATCTTCAATATTATAACTTGTTATTATTAAAATCACTGTTGATATTTCAATGTCCTACGATCTATTTGGGGTTTTGGGGTTTTGGGGTTTTGGGGTTTTGGGGTTTTGGGG